AAGTGCGAAAGAGAATATGACAAAAAAGAGAAAGTTGTTCAAATGCAGGCCTATTTAAAGTTTGACTGACGACTATGAGGAATAAGTGAGTAGCTAAATAGGAAGGAATAGAAAAACACTTGCACTGGTGAATACCTATCAACCTAATCATGCTTATTAAGCCAAAATACCCTAGAGAAATTGCAATAGGTAAAATGATGCTAGAAAAATGTGAATCCTCGATATTTTCCTAATAAAAAGTGCTAGAACTACTTATATAACCCTTTATGTAGACTTGAACTGACTCAGAGCTTCTTTGAAGTTATACACCGTTCAATGTCAATTTGATTGTGACTTGGAAATCAGCCTTGAAAATCTGGCCGAAATTAAGAAATTTGCCTCCAATAACAAACTTTAAGGTTACTCAGTGACAAACTGCAATCCTACTTCTGCCATGAGATAAAGTTATTTACAATTCTATTTCTCAAAATCTTTTTCCTACAGTCAAACAAATCATACGGAACAGGTCGCAGAAAACCTCTTTCATAATTTACATCCGTGGTCGTTACTGTACCTAAATTATAAAATATTTCCTGAGGTATAGGTAGTCAGTCCGCATCTGTAGTTATCCTTGTTATTGCTAAGTTTCTTAGTTGTTCTTTTACAGTAAATATTATTAAAGTATACGCAATTGTGGCGTGTCACTACAGGTCGCTTTCTTGTAATCACATTCACTCTGTATTTGTCACTGTTGTTGCTGACTGAACAGGCGATATCATTCAAATGGAATTGTATACTTCTAGCATTAAGGATTAGTTGTATACAAGCGTATATCCAGTGTTCGAATACCTGAAGACTATTAAAAATACTCATAAAAGTTAATACCAGTATAAAAGAATATTTACAAATCCCGTTTACAAATGGATTAATAAGCAGAGATTAATAATAACCACACCCAGTTCTTAAAGTCTTTCAACACAGCGTTTTGAATTTATTATATTTCCTTCAATGAAAAGAAATCGTTTGATGTAAAGGAAATATTTTTTTTCACATTTGAATTGAGTTGTATCTCATTTCCACCCTAACAACGATAAGTTTCAGTGCATCTCATCGCTAGTTTTTTTTCACTTGCATGTAAGCTTCATTTGGGTGCGTCCAAGTTCGCATGCATATATATATATGTATCGCTTAACATTATCAGTACAATGCATTTTGATCAACTGTAAACTGAATCTACTTACTGCAGATAAAAGTCGCTTGTAACACCCACCGACTGAGTTAATACCCTTATGTTTGAAATGATAGTTGTTATTTTCGGGTATCCATTAAAGGTAGAGAACACGAGGTTATACTGTATTTCAAACTGATTAAATAAAGTACAAACATTCTCTACGTCTGCTACTACACACCATCTAGTTATTTAATTGTTATATTTATTTAAAAAACACAAACTTGATACAATGAAGATAACAAAGAGTACGGCACACAACAGTGAGGAAAAGAGAAATATAACAGTTAAGAGGTAGCAGAATCGAAACAATTAGCGAAATTATCGAAAACATGCACACGAGCGTTCGTTTCTTACGTATTATTTTCGGAAATATGTGAAACAAATCCATTATCTTCGTTATTGATCTTGGTCCTGAGCCATTCATAGTTACGTACTGTTGATCTATCCGCTTCTGGACTAGCAAGGCGATCCCCATCTTCCTGAAAGTTTTCCAATGGATCTTGGAAATTATTTTACGATGTCTTCACCGTGCATAAAAGCAATTCTACGGAAATAGTGATAATCGAGCACATCACATAGACTTATGGTTTACTAGGCATTATTGAAGGCTGTACTCCACATATGTTGGGCAGACTGACATCGTTACTACTCGCAGAGACAAACCAGGTCGGCGTATGCCACTCTCCTTTGTCAAACACCTGATAGTACTCCCGTAAACACTCGTATACATGTTCAAATACTTACGGGAATCATCTGCGTGGCTTTATGACAGAATTTCCACAGAATGACTTAAGCCCACACAACCCCAGGTCGTATCAACTTATTTATGGGGTTAATTTTTACCAATTAGTGGATGGTGTGACAAACAGTCTTCCTGAGGTTAGACTATATATATAGACTGTATTTCCTAGACTTTCTGTTCATATCTTTTAGGATAATTAGTCCTAGAGAGGAAAAATGAATACACTACAAAAACCATTTATTTGCATGAAGGTACTTATGCTCCTTCCCCCCCCCCACATGTAACATAACTCCGTCATATGTTGCACTTAGAGAGTTTTCTTTCTCCCTTTCTTTCACTTTCCAAAATTTTATATAACATAGAAGTTATTGTTGATTCGTTATATATATACGGCCACTGTATAAACCCTAACTTCCTGTTCACTTTTATTCATCAAGGTGAAATCACTGATCAACTAACTCTATGTGAATCAATCATAGAAATATGATTTATTAAAATAAAAACAATTTTAATGCTCTTATAGCTTTTTAATATGATTATTATCCTGCTAAAATATTTTCAAGTACAATTATCACATGTGTTCATTATCCCATCATTCATCATTATTTATGTGTTGTTGAAAAATAGGTTAGATATACGAGAGGCTGAAGTCAAAAACTTTCTGCATTTGCTTGCATACTAATGCTCAGAGTGTAATAAACCTTAAAATGAATGCAAGAAGGTATACGTTTATATTACTATTATTGTCGACTCGCCACTCATAACTTGTTAACTCAGCATCACTTGGGCACTGTGGTAGAGTGTAATTCCATTATGGAGAAAATTGTATTCTGATAAGGTCTCACAGTGTTGTACAGTAATATTTACTGATGATGTTTTGAGCACATTTTTATTGCTCATAATCATATCAAGGTAGTCAAACAACTTTCTGACTTATTTTATAAACATGAGTGAAGATTGATGAGACATATGAATGACTCAACGCAAATGCCAGAGATATGGAAGATATTATTACCAATCAATTCACGTTACAACACCCTAACATGTTATTTATTTATTTATTTTATTTTACTGACAAAACATCTTATTGACTAACAACACTCGTCTTATTTCCCATTGTATTATATTTTATTATGATAACATCAGTATTATTTCCGAATGTACTTTACCTTCATTTCTGTTTCACGCAAGTCTTTTGAAATTTATATTGATTTTATTTGCTCATTCATATGCCTAATCAGTATTTTACCCAGTCAAAAAGTTGTTTGAGTACCTTGATATGATTATGAGCAATAAAACTGTGCTCGAAACGTTGTCATCAGTAAATATTACTCTACAACACTGTGAGACTTTATCAAAATAAAATCTTATCCATAATGGAAGCATCATATTGCATTTTGATTCTGGAATTACACTAGGGATTATGTGTAAAGCATAATCCGCGTAGAAAAGTCGTAAACAGTGGCCAAGTTTGCTGTTTTGGTATGAGATTATACTTCAAAGGATTCTTCGTCATCATATACATGTATATATTTGCAATTTAAACGCGTCGGTAGTGCAGCGGTAGGACACTCCCCAACCATGTATGTGGTTCGGGGTTCGATCCCCGCCGACGCCCTCCTAATAAGACCGGTTAAGAGGGAAGGTTGGGTATGAGGCTAACAACTCCACCTCGTAAAAATACAACCAATGCTACCGAAACTTCAAGGCTCTAGTCTGAAGTCCTATGTTCGACTGAGAACGTAAAGGAATAAAATAAATAATAAAATAAAAATAACAACTTGAACACTGATATTATGTCATTCCATATTAATTTGCTTAATGGATATATTACACAATAAAACAGATGACGTTTTGAATACAATTCATTGTTCACAATCATATCGCTTGTAATTACACAAGTCTGAAACTCCATAGTTGTCGTTCTTCCCACCCGTCCATCGATTGTAAGGCTAATAGACCGGTAAACTTGAATTGAATTTATCGATCGTTGAAAATGTCTCTTTTCATTGGTCACGGAGAGAAATTTCTCTTCTATCATTTTGTCAATTGTTGAATTTTTTGATTGCTGCTAATTTGGCATTATTGGAAGATTCTGCTTTGATATTCTGATCCTTCTTGCTGCCAACATCAGTTGGAGTTCTAACTGCCCTATTTCATTCTGAATATTGCGTAACTTTCCCACTATTTTGTGAATTTCTTCATTTATATATATATATATATATATATATATCCCTAGATGTGACAGTTAAACCTACAAGCTTCGAAATAAATTATAGCGGTTAAAAGATCCTGTTGAACCTGTTTGGCAAAATAATTTAGTTTTTATAACTCCGTGCAGTGATTGTGAGATTGGATACATTGGTTGAAATATTAGGTCAGAGTCAGTTAGATCGACAGAGCACGAATCCTCTGTGAAATTCGGACTTAATAGACACAAATGAGATATTTTAAACTAGAGAAAAAGCGCATTTATAATACCGCATGCAGTGACACACAACTCATACATACAATGGGATAGGATAAATTGACTATCTTAAAGTCTAATGTAACCGAGCGGAAGATTAAATGGACAAATGAAGCTTTCCTTATCCAGTCAAATGAGAATACATGCAATAGGAATGATTCAGAACCTATTCCAGACATCTGGAAAATTCTGCTGTTCTTTGGAAAAACGGGCAAAGAAACTGAGTTTCGAAGTTGTCTGGTTACAGTTAACATAATCCTAAACAATGAATTATGTTCAAAATGTCATCCAACAGCAAATAATACTGTTTTTCGCCGTGTGTTACATCCAATAAACAAATTAACATGAAATCATTAGACTCTTTTTTTAAAGAAAATTAAGCTTTCTAGTCACTTAGTGATCACATATTTCTATCCGTGACTAAGAGATTCGAATAATTAGCAGTTGTATGTAATAAAAAGCTACCCTTTAAGTCATTTAATACAATAGAAGCCAATGTTCTAATGCCTCTTACCTTCTTGTTACAATTTCTGTTCACCGCCTATTACCATTAACTTTGTGTATTTTGTTTTCTTATACAGGTCATCTATGTATGATGTTCAGACGTCATGTCTATCAAACTTGTCTTTGTTAATATACAGTGTAAAAGATTTAATTTTCTACCAGTTTATTACATATGTAGGTGAGTCAGCTTATTTAATTGATATCTCCCCATATACGAATACCTTTCGTACTACCCTTTTGTTTTTTTTCGTTGTTGTTGAATAATAATGATCAAATACAACAAGGTGTTCAGTATCAATTCACCGAATACCTTCGTTTTAAAGATGTAAAGATGATGTAAATATCTTTAACATATTGGTGTGACTTCGATGTTGCTGCGTCTTATAAACTGAAGTCTTCGGTTCACAGCGTTTCAGTTTGTCCCAGTAACCGTTGATATTCAGGAAATTTTCTTACTACATTAATTGGTCATAAGGTTGTAATCCGTATCATGTTGTTGTTGTTCCCTTGTGCTAAATAAATTCTGTCAATCAAGTTAAGATAGGCGCCATTGTGGTGTGCACTTTACTTACATTGATGTTGTATGACTGATTAATGAACAAAGAATATCCTTATTCGATAGCTTCTTCATCAAGTTCTCCAAATATATTATTAACTGTAGAACTTGATGAAGTTATCGAAAAGAATATTTGTTGTTCAGTCAGCAGTCTTTTGAAATTTTCACTGAGCATTTTTCATCAATTAAAATGACGTCAAATGGTTGAAGGCAGTCTCCACAATGAACTGAACCTAGATGTCGTGCTTATTGGAACTCGTTTACAAGGTGTATCTGCCCTGAAATGTTAACTCACATCATCCAGTATTGCTGTTAGAGACGTTACAGCTGAGCTCTTAAGGCTTCAGAGTTCTCCGCCATCAACTTTCTAATAGATGTTTACTGTACACTAACATTTTATAAAGATATTGACTGATAATGTTACATCAAGCCTACACAATATCTGTACAGTATCTGTCACGGTGCTATAAAGTGTTAATGGTAGGGTTTACTAGTTAGTAAAGTGAAAGTGTTGCATTTCTTTTTGTTTTTTATCGGTACTTATCAGTAAATGTTACCATCGTTCTCTTCTGCAGTGAAGTACACTCCTACCAACATATATACATGTAAACGGTTATTGAGTGATATTTAAGTCCTATATTAGGTCAATCGCGAGCCCGAATAGCTCAGTGGAAACGTCTCTGACTGCAGCACTGGGTGGCGCGGGTTCGAATCTCAGAAGGGACATCAGTTCCTTCAAGGTTGCAAATACGCCTTGCTAACTGACTGGTGAGTGTCAACTAGCACGAAACCTAGGTCGAAGGCTTCCTGCCGATTGCTTCCAACTATCTAATATCATCAAATCAATGTGCATCGTGATGGTGAGCTACCTGGAATGGTGGCCACATTGCAAACCTGACTGATAAAATTCAGTCTGCACCAAAGAAAGCACTAGACACGTCACACCAGTAACTACTGTCCAATAAAACTATATTGTAGTCCATAATATCATTAAAATAAGGTTTTCATGCATAAACAGAAAATAACTGCGTTACTCTACTCATTGAATGATTTGTGACTTCAGTTTACCAGTTACCTATCCAGTTACTTCTACTAGTAAAGTAATGTAAATTGCATCCCCGAACATATTTTTCCTTTACTTTTCAGTCATTATATCATTTTCTTACGCTAATTACGGCCAAAGACTATGGCAATTTCGATATTGTACAAATCCTTCATGGTGTATTGTCTCTAGCCTAATGTAAGTTTTTGTTTTTAGATTATTGTATATCTAGTCTGTGAGAGATCAGACATTTTCTGTTTCCTTAACAATGTTCATATTAGAGATAGTCTAAGAATTTCGGAACGCTAGGCCCCAACTAGTTTTTTTATCTTCCTAAAAAATGTAACAGCCATCCAACTTCAAAAAGTGTTATCAAGTTGGAGTAAACATCTTCGGTGACTAGGATGTATGGTGACTTACATACTGCAAGTCTGATGACTGGCCAAAACTAACTGAAAAGGCCAGTCGATGTGATGGTATTCTGGTTGAATAATTGTGTGTAAGGGTACCACACATATTGGTGAAACATACCCTGAGTGTGTTCCAAGACATCATTTAAGGCTATGGTAATATTTATGTCGCATCTTTATAATTAATTTCTTTCTGTCAAGTTGTTGATAATCAACTGTTTGTTACTCCTGAAAAGATAGCTCAAAATCGTTGATAATAGAACAGAGATGTTTCATCTCCTATTTACTGAGAAATTTCTCTTATCTTCGATAATTAGTTGTTCTCTTCATAACACTAGTGTTTGTCTATTTCAGTATCCTTCTGTCCTTGTATGCATTTTTGAAGCATGACAGTTTGAACTAATGCACTTCTGTAAAACGTCCTGCGTTGATCCTTCGAAAGATCGTCGACAGTTCTGCTTTCATGTAGTATTTTCTTGCAGTCATTCATCACTGAGTAGATTTTGAAATTCACTATCAGTTGCCAAAGGGAAAATAACAAGTTAACATTGTTTGATAAATACAGGAAAGAATGGACACGGAACAAAGAGTACTCTTTTCGATAACTTCATCATCAGGCTCTACAGCTATACATACATCGTAGTGAATGAATGAATTAGTGTTATGAAGAACATTAATGTTTAAATAACCGCGAGTCAATAATATTAATAGATTACAGTTCAATAGCATCAACATAAAAATAAGCTGAATGTCAGAGAAATAAGGAAAGATTATATTACAAATTCATGAGTTTATAGTTTCTGCTGAGGGCCAGGGCAGTAGTAGGGGCTGGACTTGTTTCTTTTGGACACAGAGCACTGGTTGTTTCACGCGAATTGCAATAGCCTCTGCTGTTTGGAGCATGCGGTGCTTCGACGATTTTGGTAGTTTGTTAGGCACCCGGTATATTATAGAGAAGGATTCTTCTACGCTGGCATTGTGACCGGTTTGCACCAGATGGACTAATATCGAGCTGTTAATACTTTTAACTACACCTTTACTTAGCCATAGTGGGATATGTTCTCGAGTACGAAAAATCAAGTTCCTAGAGCAACGGCCGATATAACTCGCTCCATCACAAGCGCAGTTGAATTGGTAGATACAATTGGAAGTGGCTAGTCTAGGTACTTCATCTTTCAGTAGAGGTAGCACCGTCGGTCGTGTAGAGAATGAGACGTGTAGTTCGCCAGCATTAAACGTTTTTTGAACTGATTTTCTTAATTTCTTCGTAATTAACTCGCTTGGTATATCGCCCATGAATTGTAGTCGTATATAAAGTGGCTTCTTGTTTACAGATAGTGGGTAGTTATTTTCGGTTTTCTTTGTCATATGCTTCTTGATAAATTTGTCGGAATAACTATTTTCGATTAAGGTATCATATACAATGCTTAATTCATCTTCAATTACTTCTTCTGAGCATATAGCTCTAACTCTGTGGCTAAGGGTCTTCACTAAATTTCTTTTCTAATTGACAGGAACGAAGCTGTAAAAGTGTGTATATCTTTCTGTTAGTGATGACTGACCTTAGTCCATCAGTATGATATTTTAGAAAAAAAGACAGCCAGTCTCTCGGGTTACATACCGCTTAATGTAATGAAAGTCACAGGTTTTTGCAAACGCGGTTATCTTAGTCTACTTGTGTAAGAAGCATTATCTTTGCCTTCTCATTATACCTAAACAAAATTGAAATGATGAAATCCTGTAATCAATCAAGTCCCTACAAATCAACACTTGAATATCGATGAGACGCTCACTATCGACTTTCCCTATTCAGGTAGGTAGTTACCTGAGGCTCTAGTGACAAGTCGTGACCAGTAGGGTGCAGCAGATTGGGTATGAAGACAAATACTCGCCGAAGACATTGGCTAGTGGTCGCACTATGTTGTGAATTGGCAGAAGTTAGAATTCATGGGCCATTGGATCGGGTCCCAGTGGCTCAATGGTCTCCGAGCTCACTAGCCTTGTGACCAGAAGGTCCTGGGTTTGAACCCCGTGATGTGGGTGCGTACTGATGAAGAGTCTCAAGCTAGGACGAAACAGCTGTCCATTACTCCTAGCTGGTTTTCCAATGGTTCTCTAACCGATGTCAGCTCATGATGAAATCCTGTAACCAATCAATCAAATCCCTACAAACCAACACTTGAAAATTGAATACTTTCTCAAGTGTTGGTTTGTAGGGATTTTGGGATTTCTGGTTAATTCGACTGAGGCTTAATATAAAATCTGTAGGAAATGAGATTTTTGATAGGCAAACTTCATACCATTCCCTTTTAGCATAGTTTTTTATATGAACTGCTTTGTGTCAGCAGTTTTATGAGTTAATAGTTTTTTTTAATTATCTTAAAACACTACACTATTGATCTTTTCGCTTGCATTACTTTCGTTTCTGTATTGTCTAGCTTTATTTCGCACACGCTTTATGTGATAATACGTTTCTGCATCTTAACTTCCTCGTCCAAGTTAACCAGTTGGCAGGTTTTATCACCGGCTGTCTTGGCTTTTGGATTTATTTGGGGCATTTTGTTAGTGTTTATCAATGAATTTGTATCATGGAAAGAGAGCAAGTATGTTGAGTTCGAATGTTAGGATCATTTTCAAATTAAAAGATTCAGTGATATGTCACATACATATAAACAAAATTTTTAGTGTCAACTGAATTTACAAGTACTTTTTTTTAATTTCCAATGTTTGTGATGTGCAATTTTTGTTAAGATTACTACTTAGTACTGTGTGAGGACAAATACTCGTCGAAGACATTGGCTAGTGGCTGCGCTATATCGTGAATTGGCAGAAGTTAGAATTCATGTGCCATTGGATCGGGTCCCAGTGGCTCAATGGTCTCCGAGCTCACTAGCCTTGTGACCAGAAGGTCCTGGGTTTGAACCCCGTGATGTGGGTGCGTACTGATGAGGAGTCTCAAACTAGGATGAAACAGCTGTCCAGAACTCCCAGCTGGTTTCTCCAATGGTTCTCTAACCAATGTCAACTCATGATGAAGTCCTGTAACCAATCAACCAAATCCCTACAAACCAATACTTGAGTATAACAAGTTCAGTCGGAAGTACAGTTTTACAAATACTGTTCAAAATGATATCAAAATAAATATTTAGTTCAAGAATGAAATGCATGCAATAATGCAGCCTATCTTAGATTTTCACCTGAAGTCAACTGTACATTTGTTTGGAGATTTTCTATCGCATGAACTATACATGAACTATCATTGGTGTGTTTTAAGTGAGTCGTATAACTGTAAATTGTTCCCTTGTCCTCAGGGTAGAATGAGTCACCTACCTGTTATTTCATCAACATTTACTAGTTATTCAAACCTGTTTCAAATAAAGTTGGGATAATCTATCAGTTGAATTCAGAATATGTTGGGAAATACCGCTGAAGAAATTGACTATCTCTGGTTTTCATCTACCAGCTGACTATGCACATTTATGCCAAGTTTGTCTTATGGTATCCCAGCACCCATACACTTTAAAATGTCATCATATTGTAAAAGTTAGTCCCAAAGTCGAAAAAAATCCTGTCACTTTTAGATTAAAATAGGTTCATCTGTCAAATTGCATCGTTCGCATTCCTTTTCGATTTTAAAATCACGTTCACTGTTTAGTATAGACACGTCAGTTACAATTTCACTTCTTTTTCTTAAGATTTGTTTTTGCGTCTTATGTGTGCGCAGATAAAGGATGTTTCAGGCTTCGATCACTGCATATTTATACGGATTTGTGCTAATTTGTTATATTTTCCTTTCATCAGACACAGAGCATTCACTTATGGGAAAAGTGTTTAGTTCTTATTTCATTAATTCATTCACATGTGCTGACAGTGTGGAGAACAAAGAGTATGATGCATCGATTTTGCAATTCAGTCTGCGATATTTTTTTCTTCAAAGGCATGCAAAGAAATGCCTAGAAGACGAGATAACATAATAAGGTATCGAAAGCCAAGACAAAGGTAGAAAGTGAATTTATTCTGAATAATATTAGCAACATTCAGCGCCAATCACCATCAACGGGAGGGATTTGAAAGAGGTTAATTCATTCACTTATCTAGGGAGCATTGTCTCATCTACAGGAGGAACGGACGAGGATGTCAAATCGAGAATCGGGAAGGCGAGAAACATTCATCAACCTGAAACCAATCTGGAAATCTTCGTCACTCAGCATCAACAACAACAAAATTCGGATTTTCAATACAAACGTCAAGTCAGTCAGTTGTTCTATACGGATCAGAAACTTGGCGGGTCACAAAGAATATTCCCAACAGCCTGTTGCAGACCTTTATCAACAACTGTCTTCGCTCTATACTGAAGATCAGATGGCCGGAAAGAACAAGAACCAACAAGAAACTATGGGAACAAATGAAACAAGAACCAATCGCTCAATAAATATGCAGGAGAAAGTGGAGATGGATTGGACACTTGCTGAGGAGACCGCTGGGAGACATCGCGCGTCAGGCGATAGCTCGAGTGGAACCCGAAAGGGAAGCGGCGAGTGAGACTTCCAAGGGTGACATGGGGGAGATCGTGTAAAGAAGAGTTGAAACAGTATGGACTAACATGGACCCAGGTGAAAAGTACAGTAGAAGACAGAAACAAGTGGAGACGTGCGGTTGAAGCCCTATGTTCCACTAGGAACCCAAGGGAACAATAAATAATAATAATAAGAGTGTTATTTGCTTCTTCCTCCTATCTGGAAGACGTCGACAAAGTTGTCGACTTACTTACTTACTTACACAATGAATCATTAACTCCATGCATCATTGCTTCATTAAGCATTAGATTAACTCAGCTTGCTATATGACATTCATCGCATTCATTTCTTTCCAGAAATATTTTTTTTCAGCGTCCTTATGTTTTCCTTTTCACACCAAACATTGTCTAATTCGTGTGTATTGATTGTGTATGCTTTTATGCTTATTTTGCTTTACAGAGCCATCTTCACTGAACATCGCCTTTCTCGACTTTACTTCAATACAAAGTTGGGCATGTATTCACCAGTTTGATCATACACGGTTGGAATAAATAAAAGTTTCTCGTAAATTTCCCTATATTTTTGTGTGTGAAAATAAATTTTTGAAATAATAACTAAAACACAGACTTCTTTCCAGCATTCACAAATCCATCATTGCATTGTTATGAGCTTGAAGTGAAATTTATAAATAGCCGCATTCGCTATACTCACGTAGGCAGAAGTTTCCTTTTATTTAAAAAAGGGAAATATCAGAGAAAATTACAATCAAACAAATGTGAAATGAAATGTAAGGGTTATATTGACACACAGTAGTACATCAGATATTACAGTTAGGTAGGCTTAGATGCATTATTATCTCAAGAACCCAGAAGTAGTGTTTCCACTGAGACGTGAACCCAACATTCATCGTTTGCATCACGGGTTCTATTGTTGTGATAAAGTCTGTTAGGAGATTGGTTCAGTCAAACATGTGGAGATCAGATCATCAACTAATCTAGAATTTTTGCCTTATCTTCTTCCAGTTTGCATGGGTTTTAGTTCAATTTCGAGGGCATCAATCAATATAAACAAATGGCCTGTGTTGTTATAGACGAGTGGCGTTAGACGGTCTGTCTGTTTTCGACATAGAACTTTGCACATATGTGCGGCAGTTCAAGTCGCCACACTCCATGTAGCACATAAAGCAAGAGAAGAAAGTAGGAGAAAGGCATAATATAGACAGTAAACAGAGGAATAGTAATAACGAAGAACAATATAGTTTATAAAATTATATTTGTAAAATCTCAGCGAAACTGAAATTAGTAATTCCAACGTTTCGTTCGGCAATCTGGTCCGAACTTCAGGGAAATTAATCGAATTAACATAACAGAGGTTTATATATAAAAGGAACAACTCTTGTTTTTAAACTTTGCAACTATCCGGTCAAATCTTGACCACAGTTCATAGGAACAATATAGTTTCATTGGTAATCATAAGTCACAAGGAGTGGATGCATCTGCACAAGCCATTGAGAACGATTTTGAGCCATGTCACCAATTGTTTCCAACCATTGGTTTTTACCGTCCCGAGGACCTCAACCAGGAAGTCTAAACCTTCCTAAGTGGCCTAGACTAACTGTTGTAGATTTCATTGACTGGTGCCATGTTTTGGTTTGACCGCCGCTAGCTCTTTTCCAGCCTGGCCCTATATCAGCTAACATTGCCCGTCGAGGATGGCGATGACTAGGCATACGTAACACATGTCCTAACCATCTCACTCAATGTAATTTCACAGCCTCGTCGACTGATTTCCCCTCCTTACCTAGCACTCGACGCCTAACCTCAATATTGCTCACCTTATTATACCGCTCCACACGGGAGAGAGAACCCAGACACCTATGATCAAAGACAGCTAGCCAGCTTCTCCATGTCTTCCACTCTCAATGACCAGGTCTCACAGCCATAAAGGAGAACAGAGCGGACTGCTGAGGAGTACACACGCCCTTTGTTCGATAGCCGGATATCACGTCTAGTAAGCCAGAAACGGCGTAAACTGGCATATGCGAAACTAGCCCTCTGTATTCGTGTTGAGATTTCGTTAGTGATCAACCCGTTGGCACTGGCTGATGGTACTTCCCAAGTAATTAAAGTGGTCAACGTGCTCTACCACTTCACTTCCTACTTCTAATCTAGGGGTCGGTGTAGTCCAATCCTGTAACATCATCTTACATTTTACAGGGGCGAATCGCATGCCAAGCATTCGTAGATTGCAGCTCAAGGTGTTCAGAAGACTCTGCATTTTGTCAGTGTCCTCGCCTAGAAGGACTATATCGTCCGTATATTCTAAGTCAACGAGATTATTCCCTGGTAGCAAGTCAATTCCTGAGTCTTTGAAGTGAGTTAGGGTTAAGTTCATTAGTACGTCTATGATGAAATTGAATAGAAATGGGGATAATGGGCATCCTTGACAGACGCCACTAGTCCTCACCACTTCAGATGACAACTCGTCATAAGCCCTCACTTGGCTGCATGAGTACGAGTAGAGTGCCTTAATCAGTGCAATGTATTTTCTCGGCATTCCCTTAACAGTTAAGCATCGCCAGAGAAGCTCTCGGTCGACAGAATCGAATTCCGCCTTTAGGTCAAGCAATATAGTGATTGTTGGACGCCGGTAGGAATGCCTATGTTGTAATCAATACACCCTCTTCCTGGTTTTCTCGTGTTTGTGCGTCCCGAGCACCACTTAGTCTACGCAATATTATTGAGTCTAGGACTTTAGATACCATAACATCCAAGCTAATCCCTCTGTGATTATCACAAGAAGACTTGTCTCCCTTCTTGTATATCGGGATGATCAGTGACTTACACCAACCCGACGGGATTTTCTCTGATTCCCAGACGCTGCCTATAACCTTAGTTAATGCAGACAGTAAACTGTCTCCACCGTAATTAAATACCTCTGGAGTCAATCCCGCTGCTTTGCCTTGCTTCAGATTAGTGACAGCTTTATTAACCTCAGTTAAGGACGGCGGACCTGTGTCTATATCCCATTCAGGGAGGTGTTGGATTTTCGGCAGGTTAAGCGTGGCTGGAGGCCAATTAAACTGCTCCTCAAAGTTTTCTTTCCAGCGTTCAAGGCGTCTATCCTGAGAGCTAATTAAGGAACCATTTTTCTCAGAAATAGTCTGACCTATGATTTGCCTTCCCCCTCCCTGATGGGTCTAAAGAGTTGCCTATCGCCGATGCTTTATCTATCTTTCGCCTTTGTCACCCACCATTGTTCCCACTCCTTGCGGAGACTTTTCGTAAGTTTCCTTTTGTGCAGCTTTCGCTCCTCATTGAATTCGGAGCTTGCCGGAATAAGTCTTCTAGCATCTATCAGTTCGGATGAGGCAGTCGAAATCCAATGGTTTTTACTCACTTTTGGATTTACCTTATTGACAGCTTTTACAGCTGTATCTATGGCTGACTGAATATTCTTCCAGGCTTCTTCAGGGTGAGCGCGGCTGTCGAACTCAGATACGTGTTTAGCTAGTTCTTCCTCAAATAGGGACTAAGTTTCCTGATCGAGCTGGGGACGTGATGTTTTTACCACCAGCTGTTTCCTACGTCCGTTCAGTCGTAAGCACACACGAGTGCGGACTAGTGCGTGGTCGGTATCTACACACGTGTTCCAGAAGGAGTGACAATCTCCTACCGACCCACGCTAACGATAGCTTATTGCTATGTGGTCTATTTGTGTCCAGCGTTGGTTTGATGATGGGGGTCGCCAGGTCAAACAGTGTCTCTCCTTGTGTTTGAAGTTAGTGCTTACAAGAAACAAGTGATTATCTGAACAGAACTGTAGGAGACGGTTACTGTTGTCGGTTCGCTGGCACGGGATTCCGTATGTGCCACCGACATCCTTCTCAGATTGACACAATTTCCCTACTTGAGCATTAAAGTCACCAGCTAGAACGACTATATCTCAGCGTTTAGCCTTTCGCAGCAAACTAGACAGCTTTTGGTAGAACTCATCCTTCGTTTCATCCGAACTGCAGTCAGTGGGGGCGTAGGCGGAGATTAAGAATAGGCATCGGCGAGTAGTGCAGTCCTTTCTCCCTTTTACTGATCCGTTCAGACGGACGGCACACATTCGGCTATCTACCGGGATCCAGTCAAGTAATGTCTTCTCTGCCCTAGTACTCAAAGCTATACCAACACCAGCTAATCCTCATGAGCTAGCTGTGGCATCTCCTGACACCCTCAAGGTGAATTTTACAGATTCATCCTGTTGGTCAGGTGGGGTTAGGTGAATAACTACACTTGGGTCTTGTATGCGTGTTTCTGAAACACAACATACATCAATAGCTCGGGATGTCAGAGTCTTGGCTAGTGATGCTTGTTGTCCTATTTGGCTCCCATATGAAATCGGTGGCGTGGCTTTAGGAGACTATCGATGGTGGCTTTTTGGCTTCCATCGTTATCAGTGCACACAGATTGAAGAGGAAGTGAAGAGCCATCAAGTAGAGGAGTTGCATCAGTAGAAGGAAGGCAAAATAAGAGATGAAGACAAAGATGAGTGAGGATTAGAGAGGTTTCGTGTGCATTTCGGATTGTTAGGGCGATTGTTACTTCCCGGCTGCCCACACCGTGGAAGTTGGTTGCGTGGTCGCAGAGCCCAGGGGACGGTTAGGTGCGGTCTGTTTTTGTTTGTTCTTTTTTATTTGGTGTGTCTCAGTAGCATATTTATCACTTCTGCCCTGTGACATAGCAGCAGGAAGCGCGGTCATTGTTAATCCGGGCCCCGATCGATCCGACATGATATTTTGTGATTTAGTTTGAGTCATAGCATTGGACTGGGTAACTGCTTTTTGTCTAACCACTATCCAAACAACCTTTCTGGCATGGTAGGACCTCAAGCGACATAAGTCTCAGCCAGTATAGTTTGTTGGTATATTGCAGTGTTCAAGCCCGACCACCACGTCAAGGTAGCACCTTTCGGTCGGGGGTTAGACGGTCATATGTTTTGTACAACTCCTACAGTCGATATCAATAAATTTGTTCTATATCCTTTGATGAAATAACACATAAATATCTTAAACGCCTACTAACATTGAAATACTTGTGTTGTTCGAGGATATCCACTGATATTCAAGTGGGATATTTTTGTCATATGAAGTTCTCTATTGTTTCACATTACATTCTGTATGTTTTGAATTATACTGATTGTGATTTGAAAATTAGCGTCCGTTTCTTGTCGCTGTAGAAAGAATTTTTGTCTCCATGTGAAGCATAGAGTTCCTCTCAAATTAAAGTATTCATTCTGTGACATCAGCATTATTTTACTCATAATAGCCAGGAAATCAGGTAGTAGTCGCTTCATTCCTGCGAGATACATGTTCTAAGGAAGAAGAAAAATTCCAGGTCGAAACATGATGTACAATTGCTACCTCACCTGTAAAATATCGTCATAATTAAATTCGGAATTGAGTTATTAAACCACTGAAAGATCCGTCGCCGACACAAGGCTGACTGCGATCATTAAAGTTATCCAGAGTCATCACAGAATTCA